GGCCGTTTCGCATTCGGCCAATCGGACGCGCTGCGGCGACTGTTGCCATCGCGGCGGGTTGTCGTTGACGTCGGCGACGTGGACGAAGACGAGCAGATCGGCCGACTGGCCGGTCGCCTCGAGGGCGCGCAAGCAGAAGACGAACTCGGCGCGCCGCTCTCGGTCCAGCAGCCCCGTCTGCCGCAGCCACGGTTGCCCGGTCGCGTTGGTGACCACGTCGAAGTGGGCCGCGACTCCGCCGGCTCGACGCGACGCGTCGAGCGAGTCCGCCGGCTCGAAACGTGGCCAGCGGCGCGTCGAGTCGACGCGACAGAACGTCTGCTTCAGACGAGCGCCGGCCAGCTCGAGCCGGTCCGGCTCGACCGGCGGCGCCAGCATTCGGTACTCGACGACGGAGTTGGCGGCCGAGTCGGGGTCAACGGCGACGGGCAGACGGAAGAGTGAGTTGGCCGGCGACGCTTCGGAGATGTTGATGTGATGCAGCGCATGGGCGAATCGGGGCGCGTTGTCGTTGACGTCGGCGACCTCGACGACGACGTCGACGACGAATCCGTCGCCGTTGGCCGCCGGCCGGCCGTCTTGCGGTACCAGTTGGACGGGAAAAGCGACTCGGCACAAGCCGCCGTCCGACTCGTTTGTCGGCGCCGCGTCGCTCGAGTCCGTCGGCCAGGACGGCTCAAGCGAGTGCGGCGGACAGAGCGCCTCGCGGTCCACCCGCTGACCGGCGACGAGGCGGCCCGTGTTCGCCTCCACCTCGAAGAAGACGGCCGCGGCTCCGCTCGCCAGACTCACAAACTGCCACGTCGAGCGCCGCCTCGGCGTCGAGCCCGACGCGTCGCCGTCGCCGTCGCCGTCGGCGTCGGCGTCGGCGTCGGTGAGACGGGACTCGGGCGCCTCCAACTGGCCAATCAAAGTGCCGCGTTCGACATTCTCGTGGATGGAGAAGACGACCGGCCGGGCTTGCGCCGCACCGACCGCCTGCCTCACGAGGCCGACCAGCACGAGACGGACCAATCCGCGCACCAGCGGCGCCCAGTTCGAGTCCCGTCTGGCACGTCGGACAAGCGCCGGTCGCGGCCACATGCTTCAGCGCCGCGCAACGGCCATCCACGACGACACAGTCTTCGGCGCACTCGGGCCTACTCCGGCCGGTGGGTGCAACGAGTCCTGCAGCTGGCCGAGGCCACGGTTCGAGGCCTTTGTCGCCCTGACGATGCGGCCACACGACGGGACAACATGACGACGCAATGGGTTGTGAGACACCGGCAGAACGGCCTGTTTGCCCTTTTGGCTGTTGGAGCTGTCGGCGAGTGCGCACGAAAGTGATGCATGCCTCAAAATTCCAGCTTGCTCATGCCGGTCGCACCCGTTGCCTCGGCAGCTCTCCACTCTCGCCCAGTCCCAGCTGGCTGTCCCGCTGTCTGTCGGCTTGTGTGCCGGACAAACGGGGAGACTCACACCTACGCCTACGCGGCAATATATGAGCTTCAATGCATATCTGCGTCTGTCTAGTGCTCTTTGTGTGTTTGAGTGTGTGTGTGTGTGTGTGTGTGTGTGAGTGGGAGAGAGTGAGAAAGACAGAGATGGTCGGCAATATGTGTC